AGACCAGATACGACTTGAAGGCCAATTCGATCGGATTTCAAGAAGGTGATTTAGTGTGGTTGTATAACCCAGTAAGGAAGAAAGGAGTATCATCGAAATTGTCTTCAGCATGGGAAGGACCCTATAGAGTAATCAAGAGGATCAATGATTTGGTTTATCGAGTCCAGCGCAATACCAGGAGTAAGATGAAAGTTGTACATCTGGACAGGTTGGCGAAATATCATGGGCGTGAAGTTGATCGGGACGATCAACCTTAAGAGGAGGGCAGTGTCACAATAAGCTAAACGTCCGCCAGGCTGTCAAGAATCGATCGCGGAAATACTAGAATCTAGCGAATTATTCTACTTTAATCTGGAAAATTAGATTATCGTGTGTATTCTAGATTTCACAGGAATAGATTTAGGGATATATAAGAAGGCCGGCATTGGTTTGTAAGTTTAGTTTTCAGTTCGACTGTGATACGATTTAAATAGTGATTGTAAAGAGTTTAATTGTTGAGTTTGTTAATAAAGTAATTAGTGTCAGAGTGTTTTGTTAAGTGGAATAAATTATTGCTGTGTTAATTGGACTTTGATTTTTGGAATAAACGAAACGAACAACGAACCCAAGATTTTTGTCAGCAGGCAACCCAAAGCCGCGACAATACTTTGTAAAATAGTGTTAGTTTTTTTCAAATCTGACAATTGATTTTGAGGAAGATAGTAATCGTGAATCGGCCAATGAGAAATGAAGGACCTGTCCACCAGAGAGTTGAATGGATTAATTTCTCTGAATTTATACCACGGGAAGCTAGATCAGCAGGATTGTGTTTGGTATTCACATATTTCCAGTCATTTATATTTGTCAATGATTGGATTTTAGCAACTCTATTTGAAACAAATACTTGCAAAACACTCGGTTCTGATTTGATCCAACTTAATGATATTTGCGAATCTGACCACATAAAAATAGGAATAGAATTTGGAATATTTAAAGAATTTTTAACTACTTCCGTTAATTGAGCTCCAAGCAAACTAGCACATAATTCAAGCTTGGGAATGGTGAGACTTTTCAAAGGTGCAACCTTACTTTTTGCACATAATAGATGAACTTCAAAATTCCCATAATTGTCTGCACTTCTCAAATAGACAGCAGCTGCATATGCATCTTGTGATGCATCACAAAAACAGTGAATGTCAATCAAACTAAAATTTCTTGGAATAGTATTTCGATGGAATTAAAAATCTTTAAATTATTTTGAAATTGATGAAAAGACCTTTCTAGATCTGAAGGAATAGGGCTGTCCCAGGAAATTTTCAATGACCATAAACGCTGAATAATAATTTTTGAAATAACAATAGTAGGACTTAGAAGACCTAATGGGTCATAGATTTGTGCAATGGTAGATAATATAATTCGCTTAGTTATTGGGATTTTGATGGAAGAAACTTCTTTAATTTCATAGGATAAATTATCCGAAATTGGAATCCACTGACTACCCAATGTTTTGAAGCCCTCCTTTGGCCCAAAATTTAAAATTGAATTAGGAATATTATGATCATTTAAATTTGAAATGACCCTATTATCATTGGAGACCCATTTTCTCAAAATAAATTGCGCTGATTTTAGAATAGAAAATATTTGATGGCATTTTAAATTCAATTCCGAAAGAGAATTGGACCCTGACAAAAGATCATCTACGTAGAAGTCCTCTAAAATAGTTTTACATGCCTCTGGAAATTGCTCATAATTTAAAATTGCTAGTTGCTTCAAACATTTTATAGCTAAATAAGGTGCGGAACTGGTGCCGTAAGTAACAGTGTTCAATTGGTAAATGGAGAAATTTTCATTAGAGTCTTCACGCCAAAGAATTTGTTAAATGAAGTGGTCTGTGATCAGGGTGCATTAGAATACAGCGATACATTTTCGCTATATCAGCTGACACAACGTAAACATAAGTCCTGAAACGCAATAAAATACTAACAATGTCATTCTGTACCTTTGGCCCTATATGCTGAAGATCATTGAGGGACCATCCTGTAGAAGAAGAACAACTACCGTCAAAAACAACTCTCAATTTGGTAGTCAGACTATCGTCTTTTGAAACTCCATGGTGAGGCAAAAAATAAGAAATAGAATTTGGAATAATTGAATCTTCAGATACCTTGGACATGTATCCTAGAGACTCATATTCATGAATAAAATCAAAATATGATTTTTTAAACTCAGAATTTAGAAATCTCTTTTCCAATGACAAAAATCTTTTAATAGCAATTTCTTTAGAGTTACCTAACACAAAAGGAGATTGTTTAAGAGGAAATTTCACAACAAATTGACCTTCTCCATTTCTAGAAGTAGTTTCCTGAAAATGATTTTCACAATCAATGTTATCTCTGGATAATATTGAAGGGACTTGGACTTCTTCAATTTCCCAAAACTTTTTTAATTGATCGTCCTCGGCGATATGAATTTTAGAAAAATTGCAAATAGAATTTTCCCAAGAATCAATTGGAGTAATACCTGTTACAATATAGCCGAAACAAGTATTTTGTAAGGTAGGTAAATTTTTACCTAAATGAATTTTACCATCTAAAATTAAATTCCAGAAAATACTAGCTCCTATCAATAAATCAACTTTATTTGCTTTGAAGAAATCAGGATCTGCTAATTGAATTTTTTGAGGAATATTCGAGCTACCAATGTTAAATTGGCATGAAGGAATATTACCTGTTATAATGGGAACAACAAAACAATCAATAAAACAATTGAAACTAGAAGTATTTGAGAATAAAGAAATATTGCATTTTTTCTCAAGTTTAGAAACCACTTGATTAACCCCAATAATAGATAAATTGCTTTTTTCACAGTTTAATTGTAATTTATTACAAAAGTTCTCTGAAATCAAATTGGACTGAGCACCACAATCTAGCAAAGCTCTGCATCGATGAAATCTACCCTGTATATCTTGAACTTGACAAATAATGGTGGATAAAAAAACTTGTGATTGTAAATTAATGGATGAATGAATATGCGATTTTTCTTCAGATTCAACAAACACATTTTTTTGTTGATTATCTTCATTATTATTGGAATTTCTATTATTATAATGCAATAAAGAATTGTGAGACTTGCAAAATCTACATGAAAATAGAACACATTTTTCTTTATTGTGACCTGTACGAAGGCAATTTTCACAAAGATTAAGTCGTTTTACACTGTCTATTCGATCTTTAATTGTTAAGGCTAAAAATTCATCACATTTATAAATGGTATGATTTTTTGTACAAAAATGATGAATTTCCAACAGACAAGTGTATCTGAGATTGGTGTTGATACTGATTTCTTGGATTTTTATTATTATTTCCATTATTCTGAGTGCTGTATTTACTAGCAAATGACTGGTCAAGGGATTGCAAAAGGTCTACCTTGTTTTTAATAAACTCCAAAAATTCATCGAGACTAGGCAACTCATTATTATATTCTAACTCTTTCCATTCCCTCAAGCTAGTCTTATCCAGTTTATTAGAAAGCAAATATATCACCAATGAATCATATAAAATATCAGGCCCTAAATTCATACCCGATATGGCTGTTAAATGGTTTGTTATTTGATCCAAAATATAATTAAATTGACTGAAATTCTCTCTATTTACATGAGGGATTTTTAAAAGTAATTGAAAATGTGTGTCTAATAAAAATTGTTTTTTATCGAATTTGTCGCATAAAATTTTCCAAGCACTTTGGAAGGGTTTATCCGTACCTTCAAGGCCTTCAATAATCCTAAAAGCATAGTTTTCTAACGATGCTTTCAAGAACTGAAACTTTTGTGATTCATTTAGAGATTTGTTATCACATATAATTGATATAAAATCATGTTTAAAATTAAGCCATTGTTCAAAATTGCCTGAAAAAGATGGTAGCTTTAATTTAGGCAACAGGATATTCTGTAAAGGATCAAAGTTAGAACTTGGAGCTATTTGTGTTACCGGGGCAGTGGATTCATTCGTAGGAGCTGATTGATAATTTAGCTGAATAAATTGAGTTAAAAAATTCATGGAAATGTAATATTTATCTTGAAAACACTCTCGTTCTTTATAATGAACTTCTAAATCTTTTTCTTCACAAATTGACTCTATCGTAAATTGAACTTTGTCAAAATCTTGTAATAACATAGAACCGTCTTTAAATCGAAGCTCTACATCATTAAAAGCGGGCTTTCTCTCAGGTGAGGATGTTTTAATAGTATTAATATATTTTTCAAAAATAGTTAACTTTTGTTTAATTGATGCTCGATTACGTATTAAACGTTTTAACTCTTTCCTATTTTCTTCCGACTGGAAGTCATCCTCATTATCATCGTCCATTATTAATTAATTAATTGAATGGCTTTAATAATTGCTCTCACAAAAGCCTGCAAAAAAAAAGGTAATATTGAAAAATAGGTAATGTAAAAATAGGTTAAATAGGTAATGTAATAATAGGTAAAAAAAAAAAAAAAAAATTGCACCAGCTTTAAAAATACAATTATAACAAATTTACCTCATCAAAATTGGCCAACTCTCAAACTAACAACTTACCAGCCAGGTACACAAATGAATTCTGCGCACCACCTTACATCCAATAAAATTCAAACTCAAAAAATTGCTTCTTCTTGCGGTTCACCAATCAAAACTTGATGGACAAAACAGCTTCTTATTTTGTCGATTCGAGCAAATACAGGATTCTCTAATGACTGTGTCTTCTTCGACTTCCGCCTTTTTTCGAGGAATCGAACCAAAATAATCGCCTAAATCCGGCTCGAAGGACCAAATGTTTATGTTCAACTTGATACTGGTTCAATTGTCAAAAAGTCAAAGTCAAAAATAGCTTTATTCGCATCTAACATAAATGTTGTGTACAAAGCCTTGGTAATAAAATGTAATTGTAAATAAGTACCTAAAACTATATATAAATACATAAAAAAAGAGCATAAAAAATAAAATTATTATATCAGATATATAGGAAATTAAAAAAATAGAAAAATGAATAAAACAGGTAATTCAAACATGAATTAAATCCCTAAAATAAAGTCTTATGGACACAACAAAACAAAGAAAAACAACCTATTATATGTACATTTACAGGAGTACAGGAAAATAAAATGTCACAAGGAACTCGCAGACAATAGTAGTCAAATACAATAAAACTTAACCTAAGAGATCGGTAAAAAATTCGTCCAAGGTGTAATATGCCTTTTTTAGCAATAGCCTCTTAACTGACCTTCTGAATCTCCTCGCACATCGTTGCCGTCTCAAACACAAAGGAAGATGATTGAACATTTTTTTGCCATTGTAAATAATGGACTTTTTCACCTGATCGGACTTAGGAATCGGCAAAGGCAACATGAAAGTCTGACGAGTACTGTAATTCTGAGGCAAGAACAGCTCTTCTCTAAACTTTTTGCGCACAAGGCATACCGTTTCCATAATGAAAATGCAGTACAATGTTAGAACCGAGTGGCGCACAAACAAAGGACGACAAGTGTCTCTCCTTCTGGCAGAGCACATGGACCGAAGCGCTCTCTTTTGTAGCACAAATACAGTATGGAACAGGCTCGCCGAACAGCATCCCCAGAATGAGATCCCATATCGAAGGTGTGATTCAATCAAGGAAAAATATGTTTGACGAGACACTGAAAGTCCCAGGTTGCAAGAAATTACTCTGAGGGCGTAGCAGCCAGAAGAAATTTTCCCACATAAGTGCGTCACATGGTTTTCGAATTTAAGGGAGCTATCTATGTGCAGTCCCAAAAACCTTACAGTGCTTGAACGGGACATTCTTCCGTCATTCAGAGTGACGTCACCCAGGTCGCATTTATAGTTCAAGATGTTGGTCTTGGAAACATTGAGAGAAAGATTATTAGAATTGCACCATTCCGCGACACACCCAAGATCTCTCTCAATCACTTGCTGCAACCTATTTGGGTCCCTGTCGTGCCAAAGAATGGTGGTGTCATCGGCAAAGATGGTGAATTTTCCGCTGATAGGCAAGCGAGGCAAGTCATTGATGTAAATCAAAAAAAGCAGGGGACCCAAAACTGAGCCCTGAGGGACACCCGTGGAGATGGCTTGTTCTGTTGATGTAGAGTTGTTGAAAATAACCCTCTGCACCCGACCCGATAAATAGGAATGAAACCATTTCAAGGCAATACCTCGAAAACCATAAATCTCAAGCTTGGTCAAGAGGGTAGGATGATCAACACAGTCGAAAGCCTTCGACAAATCACAGAACACTGAGGCTGCCACATCCCCCGTGTTGAGTTCAAGGTACAGCCGTCGAAGAAAACCAAAGATAGCATCATCTGTGTTCTTGGATTCTAAGAACCCAAACTGATGGGGGTCCAGAAGATCATGTTTATTGAGGAATGAAAGTATTCTCCTCTTAACCAGCTTTTCCACAATCTTTGCCAAGGTAGGAAGCAATGATATCGGACGAAAACTAGAGGCCTCATTCGAATCTCCCCCCTTGAAAATCGGCACTATAATAGCCTTCTTAAGACATGGAGAAAATGTGCCTGATATGAAAGAGTTATTCACTGCGTGGGCCAACGAAGCCAAAGCCCGATCAGGAAGGGCCTGAATAACATTCAGAGGCATCCTGTCCCAACCTGAGGATTTTTTGTTACCCATCCCACCAAATATGGACCTTAGTTCTTCAACATGAGTTGGCGAGAAGAAAAAAGTTTCAGGCACAGAAACGTGACGCAGAAAACGCTCTGGTGGTGTAGTTTTAGGGATGTGCTTTGAAAGCTCCGAGGCTACGCTGCAATAATAGATGTTCAATTGGTCAGCCCTCAGGTCACTAGATATAGGTGCATGGTTGTGCTTACCACGCAGAGAGTTAACAATTTTCCATGTTTCTTTTGATCTATCAGATGCATCATTGATTCGATTTGAGTAGTAAAGAATTTTTGCTTGTTTGAGTGTGGATCTGTAAATCCTTCTATATTTATTGTAGTAATTCACAAAATCAATATTGTTCAATGTAAACTTTCTAATATAATGTAAGCATCTCATATTTTTTGCTGAATTTTTTATACCCAGGGTATACCAGGGTTTTTTATTTTTATTTTTTTTTATCGGGACAGTGGGAAACGCTCTATTAAAAACATTGCTTAGAATTGAATGAAAGCCCTCCAGTGGATCACCATTACCTAGGCTATCATTCCAGTTACAATTGTTGCACATTGTCCTAAATCTAGCGTAATTACTGCGAGTAAACAATCTATCGTACCTACATTTATTCATCTCAGGAGGTTTAGTTTTTAAGCTCAAGGTGGCAACCACAGCCTCATGATCTGAGAGACCTGCACTTACCACTCTGCAGTCTGTTACCGAATTGAAGTTGCTACAAAAATAATCCAGACCAGAAGAAGATATGGAAGTGATTCTAGTGGGGCCATCAACATGCATTAAAATATTAAATGAGTCGAACAAACTCGTTAAATGTCTCAAATTACAGCCTGAAGTATCTAAAAAATCTACATTCAAATCACCCGACACCACTATTTTGGCATTCACTGAAATGTTGGACAAAATTGTTTCCAACTTTCTCAAAAACATTTGGAAATTTGCAGTTGGGGATCTATATAGGCCAACAATATACATATTCAACTCTTTACAATAAATTATAGAAAGCTCAAAGCATCTTTCCTCCAACAAGTAATCAAACCTATCCACATTTACAAAGTTTGAAGTTTTCAAAGTCTGTTCCTTAACCATAATTAGAGTGCCACCATGCCCTGAACTTGACCTGCAAAACCTAGCAACAGTGATATAATTATCGAGACAGTACAATTCATCACATTTGAGCCAATGCTCAGTTAAAACTACAATATTGGGAAAGTTAATACTGCTTAAAAACAAAACAAATTCGTCAGTCTTATTTCTCACTGATTGAATATTGAGAACCACTAAGGTGAGAGAGACATCGGCACGGTTGGGTCTAAAAAATTTGGCTTTACAGTTGATATTTTACTGTCTGCATCTGCATTCGCACCATCGCCGATACATTCTGAAGATGTTGAACATTTTTTCAATTGTGTAATTTCAGATTTTGTTGGGATATAAGTTAAAGTACCTTGAGATGAATGAGAAGGCAGAGGTGTGCTGATGTAATTGTATATAATTTGACTTAAAGTATGCCCGTTATGCCGATATCTAAATTCCATCCAATAGTTATCAATAACCCTGATGGAGATTTTATTTCTTATTCTAAAGTTACTTAACACAGTATTCACACCACTATACATTGAGTTTCTGGATAAACTATGTTCATACCTATAACACACAATTAAATTCGTGTACCTTCCTATGGCTAAAATTTGTTTTAGGGCTGACGCGTGCCTCACGGCATTATAATTGACATGCAATAAGACAACCACAAAATCAGAAAATGTATTGATTTTGTTCTGGATGGATTGGAAGAGAAATAATGATAGGACGACTTGAATGGACTTAAATTGTGGAATAGAATTTTTTTTAAATTGTGACAAATTTTATTTTCTGACAAATCTATTGATTGATATATGCCACCAACCTGCGGGTAGTGGCCAAAGCATTCTATAAATACAATATTAAACAAAAACTATTTGACTTAGAACAAGTTGAAAACTGTGAAATATGCATCAAAGCAAAACAAACTAGACAGCCATTTAAAACAGTAAGAGAAAAGGCTAAAAGAGTTCTAGAAATTTTGCATACAGACGTTTGTGTCCCTATAGATCCAATTACATGGGACGAAAAAAAGTATATTTTAACAATTGTAGGATTTTTATCGTTGTCTAGGGGTATTTTGGGGCAAGCACAGGGCCGGACTGGCAGGCCGGGCGATCGGGCGCAGCCCGATGGGCCGGGTGGGTTTTAGGGGCTGATGGGCCGGTCGGTTCTGCGACGATCAACCAAAAATTGGATCGATCAAAAATTAAATATAAATAATAAATAAATTTTTACACACTACCGCTCTAATTCGACGTAGAACCGCGCGTTCGGTATTTTGATCCGAGTTCTCCGAGCTTGAATTTACCGTTCGAATCGTTCGATTATTAAAAAGTGTGCTCACTGCTCGGTGTAGGGTGTAGGCTCAATCGCGTTCGTTAGGATTTCGAGCGCTCTGATACTCTGATCTCCGCCTCAATACAATACCGAACGCAAGCTAAAAAGGCAAGCAGTGACAAGAACAAGAAAGGTTGAATGTAGTAATCAGCCAAGGCCCAAGCCTGCCGCTTCGTCGTACCAGTCACCGCTTGATAATATCTTTCATCTTTCCATGAAAATCCACGAAAACCATTAACAAAACTGGACTCCGCAGCGTACCTGATTACCATAAATAAATTATTTAAGGTAAGCAAAATTTTTGTTGTTGTTTGAGTTTGTTGTAGTTTTAGTTTCAATATTGGCCCTTGGCTTAAATCATCTGTGTGTGTGTGTGTGTGTGTCTGTGTAGGTTATAGGTTATGTTTGTGTATGTTTTTAAGGTTTTCACTCTAATTAAATTTCTTCGATGAATTTCAATTTCAAGCGAATGACCAAAATAAATGTATTTACCGCAGTAACTTAAATGTAATTAACTTTTAATTTTTATTATTTTCTTTCAGTAAATATGTTTGGTGGTAATAATAATAGAGAAAATGAAAAAATCAAACAAACGAAAAAAAGAAAAGGAGGTGCGGAAAAGGAAAGGGAAAAAAAGAAAAGACTTTTGGATAAAAGCGCGGAGAGTTGCCATACCATATCAGAATTATTTGCTGCAAAACAAAGATTGGTGAATTTGCAAAACGCCAAAGATAACGAGGCATCAAAAAACAAAGAAAGTGTTGATGCTCTTGAACTAGAAAACAAAGAAAACGACATTTCTCATTCTCAAGAATTTCAAGAGGCACCTACAAATACAACTTCAAATTCAAATGAAGAGGCAACTGATGAATTGACTCCTTTCGAAATGGTTGAGCAAAACGTAGTATCTCTAGCTTCAGCTCCTGTTAGTTCTTTTCAAGAAAATGTGAATGCAAAAGCCAATGATCAACAGGAAGAAATCAGCGAAGGTGAAGATAGGGACCAGGTAGAGGTTTGTTCCTTTAAAAAACCATCAAACCTAAAAGAGCTGCAACTGTTCCTAAACAGCCACCCTCAACAACCCATTGACCTTGTTGAAAGTAATTACAATGCCCGTTTAATATATTTCAGAAAATCTGGATCTAGAAGAACATGGGTAAGTTTCAACAGTTCAGAAAAAATGGTTCACTGTTGGGTGTGCTTAGCTTTTGGTAGAGATACTGGGGTGAATAGTTTAGCTGCTGGTATTAATTATTCTGTAAAACATATATACACCAGACTTGAAGAGCATGAATCAACTAAAGGCCATATACTCAGTACCGAAGCTTACTTAATACATAAGAAAAACAAAGATGTGCATAATTTGCTTTTTTCAAGTGCTGCAGAAAGAAGAGCTAAATTAGAAAATAACAGGAAAATTCTAGAAAGGGTGATCGAAACCATAAAATTAGTTGGAAAACGTGGTCTAAGCTATAGGGGCGATAGCCAGAATGAAGCGGCATATTCCTTGCTAAATGAGAATATAGATCACGGAAATTTTCTAGAAATTGTCTTAGTAATTTCAAAATTTGATCCGTTATTGCGAAAACATATTGAAGAAGTTGCGGTAAAAAGTCAAACCCGTCTTCAAAGAGTAGGAAGTCATTCAAAAGGCAGAGGTAATTTGGTAACCTTTTTGTCAAAGTCAACGGTCAATAACATAATAGCTGCAATATCAAGCCTTATTATGCAAAAAATTGCGATTGAAGTTAAAAATGCCAAAATATATTCTATACAAATTGATACTACTCAAGATATAAATGTAGTTGACCAATGTTCTATAATTATCCGATATGTGAAAAGTAATAAAGTACATGAGCGGTTAATTAATTTAATCAATTGTACTTCCAGCAAGGGAAAAGATATGTACGAAATGGTGGCCTCATGCATATCTCAGTTGGGGCTTGATATCACTAACTGTATTGGTAACTCAACCGACGGCGCAGCAAACATGCAAGGGCAGTACAATGGTTTCACAACATGGCTGTCAAAATTCTCTCCTGGCCAAATACATGTCTGGTGTTATGCACATGTGCTAAATTTGGTGATAGGATGTAACATAAAGCTGGTCCTGTGTGTTTTGAATGTAGGATCATCAGTGGTTACGTCACTGACACAAGACAGCTGATGCCGAGCAGGACGCACTCCAACACACACACACAGGCTGGAGGGTGCTGGATTGATAATAAATAAACCATAATAAAATAATAAAATTCATTTAAAAGTAATATAGTATTTATTAAATAACCTGCGTTGTACCTGCTGTGTAAGCTTGTAACATGGTGTCAGGTTAGAAAACTGAAATAAGAAGGAGCTAGAGGAAGTGCGAAATTCAGCGAAATTGTGAAGAAAGTCAGCAAAAAATGGCAGGTAACTTTAAGCCACCTAAGTCGTTGGTGTTTGATGCCAACATTGCAAAAAATTTTGAGAAATTTATAAGCAGTTTTAATATATATATGAAGGCGTCTGGGTTTGATGCAAAAGATGAGGAAACCAAAGTTGCAATTTTCCTTAATGTGGCGGGAGACGAGGCGCAGGATATTTTTGCAACCTTAAAGTTGACAGAGGCTCAAAGAAAAGTTTATAATACTGTGGTTGAGGCATTTGAAGTTCACTGCAAACCTCTACGAAATGAAACCTATGATAGGTTTAAATTTTTTAAAAGAATTCAGGAAGAAGATGAAGAATTCGACCATTTTTTAACAGACGTTAAAATACTGGCAAAAAATTGCAACTTTACCACACTGGAAGACAGTTTAGTAAGAGACAGAATTGTCAGTGGCGTTCGAGATATGGATCTGCAAGAAAGGCTGCTACGTACTGGAAATTTAACGCTCAAAAGGGCAGAATCTGAATGTCGAGCAGCAGAGCTCAGTAAATTACAAATGAAAGGCATTAGAGGAAACGAACAAGTGGATTCATTTAAATTCAGAAAGGAAAATGCTACTGGTAGTCAAAGCACTAGTTTTTATGACTGTTTTAAATGTGGTAGGAAGCATGGACCTAGACAATGTCCAGCTTTTGGAAAAAGTTGTGCAAGTTGTGGATCCCTGAATCACTTTGCTGTAGGATGCAAAAATAAGCAAGCAAGAAACAAAAATCGTCAAAATGCTCCTCATGATTATAAACAAAAAAAGAAGACTGTTCAAGAAGTTGTCCATCATGATTCTGACTCAGACGACAGTGGAAACGCTCCCTACATCGATTCCATTGTTTTGGACAGTGTAGGTAAGTTTGGACACTCCTCCAGACATAATAAAGACTTTTGGTCTGTTGATATCTTGATTAATAATGAATTTATAACATTCAAGCTCGATACAGGGGCAAATTGCAATTGCCTTCCATTATTTTTTATTGAAAAGTTAAATGTAGCAGACCAAATTGTTAGAGATACTTTATCACTAAACACTTATGGCAATAACAAATTTCAAGCCTTGGGTTTTATTGTTTTAGACTGCCTAGTAAAAAATGTTAATTATAAGATAAAGTTTATTGTTATAGATAGCAATAATACAATGCCAATTTTAGGGTTAAGAGCTTGTGTCAAAACAGGGTTAATTAAAAAGATGGACTCTTTGGTAGACACTGTAAGTTTAGATAAGGAAAAAGAATTGTTCATTAAAAAATATAATGATGTTTTTGAAGGAACGGGTAAGATTCCTTTCAAATATAGGATTGTTTTAGAAAAAAAGGCTCAACCTGTAAGTAGTGGATGCAGGAGGGTTCCTGAGGCAATAAAACCAAGACTTAAAGAAGCTTTAATTGACTTAGAAGCTAGAGGAATTATTTCAAAAGTTGAGGGACCCACTGAATGGGTTAATAATATTGTAATAGTAGAAAAACCATCAGGGGCCCTACGCATTTGTCTTGACCCAATGTTTTTAAATAAATATGTGTGTTTGGACCAATTTCCAATACCTACAGTGGATGAGTTGGCATTAAAACTAAAAGATAAAAAAATTTACACGGTACTTGATTTGAAAGAGGGGTTCTATCATGTTCCACTTGATTCTGATAGTAGGAAACTTTGTACTTTCATAACACCGTTTGGAAAATTTTGTTTCAATAGGTTGCCGTTTGGGCTTAATGTAAGCCCTGAAGTATTTCAGCGTATGAATGAGAAACTGTTTGGAGATTTGCCCATAGGAATCTATTTTGATGATTTCGTAATTGCAGGCAATTCTGTAGAGGAACATGATAGAATCCTAAAAGAGGTGATGAGAAGAGCAGAAAAGTTTGGAGTAAAGTTTAACAAGTCGAAAGTTCAATACAAAGTTCATGAAATCAGTTATGTTGGTCAAATATTCTCAGCTGACGGTGTTAAACCTGATTCTGAGTATGTTAATGCAGTACTGTTGCTTGAAGAGCCCACAAATAGGAAAGAATTGTTGCGGGTTCTTGGAATGTTCAATTATTTATCAAAATATATGCCCAAACTTTCTGAAATTTTATCACCTTTGCGAAATTTAATAAAAAAAAATGTAGAGTGGCAATGGACAAAGGATCACCAAGAGTCATTTAAAAAAATAAAAAGTGTTGTGTCAGAAATCCCGGTACTTAAAATATTTGACCCAAAATTACCTATAGAAATGCAAACTGATGCTAGTCAAAGTGGAATAGGGGGTTGCCTAATGCAGCAAGGTCGGCCAGTTGCATTTTGCTCTCGTAGCATGACAGATACTGAGTCGAGGTGGGCTCAGATTGAGAAAGAGTATCTTGCAATTTCATTTGGTCTGCAGAAATTTCATCATTTTGTTTATGGTCGTAAGGTGGTTGTGAAAACAGATCATAAACCGCTGGTGTCTATTCATAAAAAAGATATTTGTAAAGTAACTTCTAGGCTGCAAAGATTAAAACTTAAAATGCTTAAATACAACATTGATGTTCAATACTTACCTGGTAAATATATGTACATTGCAGATCTTTTGTCCAGGTCATATCTCAAAGTGCCAGTTAAAGATGACAATGAGATGAAAGAAATAGTTCATGATTTTGAATTTGATATTCCTATTTCAGAAGAAAGGTTAAAAGAATTACGAACTGCTACTAAAAAAGATTTTGTCTTAAAGCAAGTTATAGAATTTTGTCAAACTTTTTGGCCTGATAAAAAACATATTGTGAATCCTGAAATTAAAGTTTTCTTTAAATGTAAAACTGATTTACACGTGTATAATGAGCTGTTATTTCATAATTTTAAGCTTGTAGTTCCAAAGTCATTAAGACTGATAATGTTAAATAAGTTGCATGTTGGACATTTTGGCATCGAAAAGTCCAAAACTAGAGCTAGAAAGATATTCTATTGGCCCGGAATGTCTCAGGATGTACAGGATTTTGTGTCAAAGTGTAAAACATGTTTAAAGTTTAGTCGTAATGTTCCCAAAGAGCCAATGATTCAACATGAAAGAACAAATATTCCGTTTCAGAAGGTGGCCGCAGATATATTAACCTATGCTGGTATAGATTACTTAACTTTAATTGATTATTTCAGTAATTGGATAGAGTTGGTTCCCTTACAAAATAAAACTGCAGAAGAGGTTATCAGCAAACTTAAAGTGATTTTTTCGACTCATGGCATACCATCAAACTTTATATCTGATAATCAACCTTTTAACAGTAAGATTTTTAAGAATTTTGCTAAAAGTTGGGACATAAAGTTAAGTACATCTAGCCCAAGATATCCAAAATCGAATGGATTGAGTGAAAGATCTGTTGGCATTTGTAAAGGCATTTTGAGAAAATGCAATGATTCTGAAAATGATTTGTATAAAGCCCTTTTAGAATATAGAACTTCTCCATTGACTGGTCTAAATGTCTCTCCTTCTGAGCTTCTTAACAAAAGGATATTAAGAACAAGTTTGCCTATTTCTAACAAACTTTTAACTGAAACACCAGTAATTGATCTTGACAAGATTAGAGAAAAACGTCTTAAAGCAAAATCCTATTATGATAGACAAGCTCATGAAAGAGCATCGTTTTCTGAGGGAGAAGATATCATGATTAAAAAAGATAGGCATTGGGTTCCAGGGAAAGTCATTAAAAAGCATGAAGCTCCAAGGTCATATTGGGTTGGAGAGGATTTGGACCAGGTCATTAGAAAAAACTCATCATTTATAAAAGCAAATCCCAATCATGTAAAACTTAGTCATAAGTCAGTTAATAATTCTTTTAATGATGATGGAACTGGTTGTGAGTTCTCCGTTGGTAATCCGGTAATGTCAGATAGTGAAGTTCGTGAGTCAATTGGGCGTGAAAATTGTGAGCGATTTAGTGAGACGGCAGTAAATTCTCTTCCCGATAGTGACTATAAAACCAAATCAAGATTTAGTGAGACTGAAGTAAATTCTCTTCCCGATAGTGACTATAAAACCAGATCAGGACGTTGTATCATAAAACCTTCTAGGTTTAGAAATTAATTGTATTTGAAAAGCTTCTATGTTTAGAAATTAGTTGTTTTTTGTTATTATTTAAAAATTTATCAGTAGAATTCAATGTATTTATTTTTCTTGTGTTGAATTAAAACATTTCTATAAAAAGGGAGATGTAACATAAAGCTGGTCCTGTGTGTTTTGAATGTGGGATCATCAGTGGTTACGTCACTGACACAAGACAGCTGATGCCGAGCAGGACGCACTCCAACACACACACAGGCTGGAGGGTGCTGGATTGATAATAAATAAACCATAATAAAATAATAAAGTTCATTTAAAAGTAATATAGTGTTTATTAAATAACCTGCGTTGTACCTGCTGTGTAAGCTTGTAACATAGGAGACGTGACAAAACTGACAGTTCCGGTTATTTCGTTGTTTGGACTCCTAAATAAATCAGCCGTCTTTGTGAGAGAATCGTATTTAAGAATGAATGTGTGGAAATCAGCGTCAACAAGTAGTTTTTTGAATGTAATCGGAGAAACCAGATGGTGGTCCAAAGATAAGGCACTATTAAAAATTTTTGGTGATAGTAACGGGATCTTCGTGCAATTATGCGAAACATTTTATGAAATAGCAGAATCTCAGAGCTTCAATGCAGAGGTACGATATACAGTACAAACTCTTCTTGATGGATTTTTGAAGTATGAGACGGTTATTACTTCAATTTTGTTCAAAAAAATTTTCATGCTAACTTCCCCACTTTCGAAGTATCTGCAGACGTCAGGAATGGATTTGTTACAAGCCTACCGCATGGTCGAAGATACGATAAAAACCCTCAAAACATTTTCTCGAGAGTTTGATAAAGTCGTGGTAGAAACGGAAGAATTTATACTCAAAGTGAATGGGCACTTTATGGAAAAGGAAATTCCGCTGGAGGTCAACAGAGAAATGTGTGCTAGAAGGAGAACACGAAAAAAGAAATTCCACGATGAAAATTGTGAAGATGAAGCACTCCAAAATCCAGTGGACAAGTTTCGAGTAGAAGTTTTCAATGTCACTATGGACAAAGTAATTAATGTCTTAGAAGCTAGATTTGGGAAGCATAAAGAATTGTATGAGGACTTCGAGTGCTTTCACCCTTCAAATTTCTCTAAACTTCAAAGTTTCTCGACAAACATTCTCCAAAAAGTTTGTGAAAAGCTAACCAAGTTTTATCCTGATATCATAGAAGATAATCTACAAATGGAACTTTTAGATTTTGGTTCCAAGTGGAATACGTTATCATCAGCATTGCCAGAAGAAAGAGAAAATACCAAAGAAGAATTTATACAAGATGAAGCTGGAGCAGAAAATAACACTTCGCATAAGTTCTGCAAAAACTGTATTAGTTGTTGTTACTATGTTTTGCAGAAATACAACTTATATGCCGAGGCATACCCTAATCTAGAAAAAGCTTATAAATATTTACTTACTCTTTCCATTTCTCAAGTAGCCTGTGAAAGGTCGTTTTCCAAATTAAAGTTTATTTTCAATAGATTAAGAAGCTGTCTGACTCAAGACTACTTAGAGGCTTTCATGCTTATGTCTTGCGAAAAAGATATTTTAATGTCTATTGAAAATAACGAAATTGTGAATTATTTGACAAATCACTGTAAAGGTTTAAGGGAGCAGCTCATTTAAACCTGCTGCCGTCGCTGCTGAGCTGCTTTTACTATTGTAATAATTTTTTTTTAAGAGGTACAGGGTCTTCCAACGAGGACTGAACAGGGGCTTATTTTTGACCTTCCTTGTATTTTTTTAAAAATCCAAAATAGTCAATCGATGTATTTTTTTCCGTGGAACTCGAAAACGTCACCAAAAAAACATTTGAACCAGAAACAGAAGAGTTACGATATAGACAGGGTGTTTTTTAAATGGAACATGCCATTTTTTATACGATTTTTGGAAAAAATGTACTTCTAGTATGGTCAAAAATAAGCCCCTGTTCAGTCCTTGTTGGAAGACCCTATACCTAATTTTTGAATCATAAACTTTTGTTCCTCATTTACCAAATGTGCAATTGTTGCACAATTAAATTGTGTGGTAATTAGTTAATTAGAATCTATTTTGTTCCTCACTTACCAAATGTGCAATTGTTGCACAATTAAATTTTGTGTTAATTAGTTAATTAGAATCTATTTTGTTTTTCATACGTTTTTATATTTTTTGATTTATACGTAATATAACTGTTCGACTTGAAGATTTTTTTCTACATAAAAAAGGGCCGGTTTGAATCATTCGCCCGGGCCGCTTCGAAGACCCAGTCCGGCCCTGGGCAAGCAGAAAATCAAACGTAACGGTCCATTGAAAATATAAGGAATTTTAATAATATTTACGAAGAATAGATAGATTAGATGGTAGATAAATACGTCATTGATAAATATACAATTGGCACGGAAAATCACAATAACAACTTCACAACTAAGTATAGGTACGTCTTAAATTTACCTCGTCTAGGAAAAATCTGGCGGCCGTCTTCCGCCTTCAGCGTTCAATTAACGATTGACCCCTCTTTTAGGGATAACAAACTATCGATAGGAATATCGATACTATCGATATTTTTTAAATTTTCGATAGTATCGATAGACCTGTACCAATATCGATAGTTCCAAAGTAGCCAAAGTTAAATGAAGACATCTGTAAATTGAGGGGAATATAAAGAAATCTGTAGCTGTTTTGAGAAATCTGTAATTATTTTTTGGGTGTAGATCATGGGTAGACATGCAAAATAGGTTGTACCAGATTCAGTAAAAATGTACCAGCTTATCATGCGCATGCGTTTCCTGGAAAATGAGGATTATTTTTGATCCAATAGGAAAGCACGTTTTGTTTTAATTTGATGAAAAGTGGAAACCTAAACTTAACACATACTACGAACTACGTCAACCAAGAACCACAAAACGAGGGTTACATTGGTGGCGCCATCTATTTACGAATCAGAAATTATTGTTACATCGAATTTAGATACAGAAATACAAATTAATTAGAACATCGACATTAGACTAAGTAGGCAGTAGGCTAAGACTGAAAATTTAGAAAGAATAAAGAAATTGAAAACTGTACCTGCCAACGTCGTACCAGCGTACTTTTTCAAAGCGAATGGTACCAAATCTGGTACAATTATATCACCTCTGGCAACACTGGTTGGATTTTGAGTTTTTGAGTCCTATTTTCTTTAAACAAAAAAATATACATTTATTTTTTGATTAATTGTACCAAAGCAAACTATCGATAGGACAATCGATGGTTACTATCGATAGATAAGCCATTATATCGATATCACTATCGATAGTTTTTTTTTCGATAGTTTGTCAACCCTACCCTCTTTTTAATATTATTCGTTCGTGGCTACTTCCCCACTGGCGCCGTGCCATTCGGTGCCACCCTGTTACACGAGACGATATTCAGCCCAAGCCATGCCGACGTTGCCAAATGAACCGTTATCGTTTTGGCGGTAAATTTGAATTTCAATCAACCCTATGTATTTTCTTTTGAATAAAATTGTGGGAGGAGGTTTGAAAATTGAATAACAACTTTTTAACCAACTAAAATCGCGTTTTTAAAAAACTTCCAATTATTTGAAAGCATTACATAGTAAAATAAAAACTGCAAGTAATTGTTTTAGACTTCAATAACAAAAAAACAATCTTTAAATTTTAAAGCCTGTACTATAAACATTATAATATGTAATCTGGAATAGTTATTTTATTTTCGGTGAGTATAGCTTTAATTGTGGAATTGAAACTTGAAATTTGGAAACTAATAAATAACAACTGAAAATTAAATTCGAATTTTGGAAAATATAACAGGAAAATTATAATGGTGATAGGAATTTGGGATGGGTAGTGGTAGAGTATTTTGAATGTGAAAAGTTTTAAAATTTTATAGAAGAAATTTTCTTTCTCTCAGTTTCAATGAATACCTAAATATAAATAAACATTAACTCTGGATTTTCAACAGAAGAATTTTATTATTTACAATGTTCTATATATTATGTTTATGTTTATTAAAGTTGATATAAAATTAGGAATATTTGCAATACTGATGATCGGATAAAGGTGAAGTCTTGGTTGAAGTAGATACATGATTCAAATATTTTCCAGGCGCATGTGAAAGATTTTCTCGAATAATTGCGATTTCGTGTGCTGATGGCCTTTTAAGACTTGTTTTCCTATTAACGCATTTCTTCTTGGTAGACGTAAACCGAATCTGGGTATCAATCACTCGCTTCGCGGATTTGGTTTTATTTGGAAAATCTTCATCAGTATTGGTGCATTTGACCACATTACTTATAATTAATAAATGTCGATGTATTTTACTCAAAATTGTATCATCATCAAGATTTTCAAAATTAACCATCTCAATATCTGCAAGTAGTTTTTTTATGTTATCTATATTATGATTTATTGTTGTTGGGGGCTCTTGGGAACTGGAAATAGCCGATAGAGCTTCACAAATTAATTTTTTTTTATGGTCTGCATCTGAGTCTGATGCATTACTCCCTGGATTTCCATCATTTTTCAATTTTTGACATAACAAATGAATATGCTTACATATTATTCTTCTACTTGTGAAGTATTTACAATCACATGAAAACATATGATTGCATACTCCACAAAACAAACACACTAGCTTACAGCATTTCGCCTCCATAGACTGGGTTATTAAATATGATGTTTGTTCATTTTTTAATATCTGCCAATGATGACTACTTTTATTAACAAATACATAATTATCCACATTTTTTAGAGCTTCATTATGGCTACGAGATATTTGTCTAGTTTGTTTAGTATTTTCTCCCTTGGTCAATCTGATAATTCTTTCAACACTTTTGTCTCTTATGTATTTTAAAACTTGTGCTAGACCTTTGTCAAGGCGCTTAACAGTTTTTCTATCCAAATAATAGTTATTTTTGTATCTAGTGCGCGAAATGCTACTTTGGTATTTCGCGCTTGAGTTGCAAACAATATTTTTTCTACAACTCCATTTAAATATCGATCATTCGAAGCCAAAATTGCATTCTCAATCAAAGGTAGGTGAATTTTAATTATTTTTGGTTTCCTGACAGGTATGTGTCACCATGACACCAGTGTGCGAACTAGCTATTTCGCGCACTAGGGTGCGAAATAGCTAGTTCGCACACTGGTGTCATGGGAACGTTAAAAAATCAATACCTGGGAAAAAAGTGTCACTTCGCAAACTGTCATGAGTGTGCGAACATCATCATTTTTCGACAGTTGTAGAAAAAAGTATTTTATGACTTTATGCATCGATTCTAGATGCATATTTGTGTTGATGCTACATTCATTTCTGAAACAGTATGCCCATTTTTTATAGTTATGACCATAGGTGTGGTAATCGACAATGAGTTCACCCAGAGTCAAGACCAGGCTAAAGAAAACGCTACAAACTACACGCTCGGAACCTTGATGTCAAACGTCATGACGTGACTCCTCCACCCTGTGAGGACTGAACTCGACAGCGGACAGTCTGCTACCATTCCCCAACATGAGTAGAGGTTACGTAGGCCCCTGTACTTTCAGCCCTCAATAAAGTAGACCATTCAGTAGTAGTGACTTTTATTTCTCGCGGTTATTACAGTGGCGACGAGGATTAAAATATCGGAACGCGGAAGGCGAAAAATATCCAAAAAAAAACTACTACGAACAGGAGTGTTCGTCGTGTTCGATCTCGGAATAAAATGGCGGCCAGCAATCGCATGCCCGTTTTCTTCGAATTCAACAGCGAAACGGACGATTTCGAAATCTACGCCGACCGACTGGAACAACACTTCATTGTCAATGAAATTGGCGACGAAAAAGACAAAATCAAAGTGGCGATTTTGTTGAGTTCCATAAGCCAAAGCACCTACAAGCTGATAAAGGATTTGGCGCACCCCTCAAACCCCCAAGACAAGACGTACGCCCAGCTGAAACAATTGTTAAAAAAACAATATACAGCAGAAAAAAGTGTATGGAGGGAGCGGATTGCCTTCTATGAAACGAGCCAGGGTTCCTCCAATATGGCCGACTGGCATGCAAAAATGCGTGGTGCTGCTACTAATTGCCAGTTTGGAAACGACTTATCCAAGATACTTCGCGACAAACAAATTCGTAAGTGGCCTAAATTCTAGCAAAATTTTAGATCGTCTCTGTGAAGAAGATCCCAACAAAACCCTTGATGAGCTGTTCGCCATTGCTTTGAAGGTCGAAAATTCATCAAATTCCAGCAGTGCGACGTCATCAGTAAATTTCTTAGGCAGGCCAACCGGTCCGCAGCCAATCAGATCGCAGCCGTACCAACAAGGTCGTGACGTCAGCGCGAGCGCCCATCAACAAGGTCACTGGCGACGCAATACAACACCGAGTCGTTTCAGCACCCAGGGGAGGGACTATCTCGACCAGCAGCGTCATCATCAGCTGGCGCAACCAGCGCAACAGAGACAACGAAATGGTTTCCAAGTGAGAAATCCGCAAAGCTTCAATAATAAACAAAAAAACTATGATACAGATGCAGGTAACTCAAATTTTTCGAATTGTATACATTGTGGGAATTTTCACAGGGGTTCTGATTGTAAATTTAAAAATGCAAGGTGCGTAAAATGTAATAAATGGGGACATATTGCACGAGCGTGTAAAATT